GATGAAAACGATACCCCGGGCGATACCTGCGCAATTCCGAAACGATACCGCGGAGTGCGTGGGGCCAACTGAGCTACCGAGTCTGGCATCATATTTGGTGGTCCTTCTGATTCCCGCGGCAGAGTTTGTAGAAAAGCGCGAAAAACAAAATTCGCGGTCCGGAATTTGTTTTTCGTTCCGGCATTACATTCGGAGCTGCAAACGATACCCAAAACCATGCCAAGCTGTCGCCTTGCGAAGGGCTGGCCCACCCGTCTCTTGTTTTAGCGTGAAATGTCGCTTGTGTCTGTTTCCCAGTGCTGCTGCTCATTCTCTCGCCCGGGGACGCCGCAGTTGTAGCAGCGTGCTAGTGCTCAAAACGATACCCAAAACGATACCAAAACGAAGCCCCCGCAACTGTGGCTGTCACCGTGCGCGAGGGGTGGCTAGTCTCTTTACGTAGCGTAGCTTGTCGCTTGTTGCCACGTTCCTCCTTCCTTTTCTTTCTCCGGTGTTCTGCTGCTCCGCTTCCTACGTTTGCTTGTCCTTCTCCTTCCTTTTGCTCGTTCTGCTCTTCGTCCCATCCTCGCTCCATTCCTGGTCTACTTCTTGCTTTCTGCACTAGCTCTTCCTCTTGGCTTGCTTTACTTTCAGGAAGTTTGCGGAAGGGCGAGGCGGAAGGCGATTTTTGCAGCAAGGAAAATTGGACAACCTTCATGTATGTATGTATGTATGTATGTATGTATGTATGTAATGTATGTAAGTATGTATGTAATGTATGTATGTATGTATGTATGTATGTATGTATGTACGTATGTAATGTATGTATGTAATGTATGTATGTATGTAATGTATGTATGTATGTAATGTAATGTAGTGTAATGTATGTATGTATGTATGGATGGATGGATGTAATGTTTGTAATGTATGTAACGTATGTAAGTATGTAATGCACGTGTGTTACGTAATGTAACGCGAGTTTGGTACGTATGCAGGTATGTGTTAGTGCAATGTAATGTAATGTAGTGGAACGTATCGGAATGGAGTGTAATGGTTTATGTCTGTACGTACGAATGTATGATTGTGCGTATGTGTGTGTATGTGTGTGTGTGTGTTATGTTATTTTATGCTATGTTGTGTGATGTTATGTTATGTTATGTCATGGTATGTTGTGTATGTGTGCATAGATTTATGTACGTATGTAATGTAAAGTGATGCAACGTATTGCAATGTACTGCAATGTAATGTGATGTAATGCGATGTAGTGTGGTGTAATCTGATGTAGTGTAAGGTAGTATAGTGATGTACTGCAATGCAATGTCATGTAATGTGTGTATGTGTTGTATGCAATGTATGCATGTATGCATGTATGCATGTATGCATGTATGTATGTGTATATGCATGAAGCGCTCATGAATGAATGAATGTATTGTGATGGAATGTAATGTCACGCCATGTGTATGTATGCATGTGTATTTGAATGTATTTACTCATGAATGAATTTGTATCATGTCATGTCATGCCGTGCCATGCATGCACGTATGTATGCATGTACGTAGGTAGGTAGGTAGGCATGTATGTGTGTAATGCAATGTCATGTAATGTGTGTACCTATGTGTGTCATGTTATGTTGTGTTATGTCATGCTTGTCATGCTTGAATGCATGTTATGTCTGTTATGTATGTATGCATGCATGCGTGTAAGTAGGTAATTAAGTAAGTAGGTAAGTCATGTAAGCAAGAAGGAAAGTATGCATGTGTGTATGTCACGCATATATGTAGTGTAATGTAATGAAATGTAGTGTAATGTATGGGATGGTATGTATGTATGTGCGTATGTTTGCATATGTGTGTAATGCAACGTAACGTAACCTATCGTACTGTAATATGGTGTAATGTAATGTAATGTAATCATGTATGTATGTGCACGGATGCATGTAAGTATGTATGTGTGTATGAATGTTTGTGTAATCTGTGAAATGTTCGTAATGTATCCACGTAATGTAATGTGATGTGTGTAATGTAATGTAATGCAACGTAACGCAGTATGGTTTAATGTATGCATGTATGTGTGTAGGGAATGTTTGCATTGTATGGTGTTGTATTGTATGTTACGTATATTATGCCTAGCATCAAAAGTGTTTAAAGTAGTTGTTTGCAGTTGGATGTAGTGTAGTGTGTTGCAATGTAATGTACTGTCATATAGTACAGTGTATCATGGATGCATGTATTCGTGTATCCCGCAATGTAGTCAGCGCCGCGTGTCGCCGCATGTAATGTAATATGTTGGCCCACACTGCCATCAAACAGCTTTGTTCACGTTGGAAGGGCGCTCCATTAGCTTGAGACAATCCTGGTTGGGCCTTCCGTATCTAGAGACCCGCCCCCATTGCTTCCTACAAGTAGCGGCGTGAGTCAATTGCCCAAGACGTGAGTCAATCGAAGTTTCGGGCGTCTTTGCCTGTCTTTGGTGAGGCGCATTGCGCGAAGCCGTGGAACACCAGGTTTGTGTTGGCTCAGCGCTGATGCTAGAACATTGCCGCGGATGAAACTTTCAAGATGACAATTTGCCACTGGTTCTTCTGTCATGAAAATTATGAGTGCACTCGCCGTATGACCAAAGCAGCAACATCCTGGGACGAATCCCGCTTCCGTACAGCAAGCGTCGGACGCATGAATGACATCGGCGGCGCTTTGCTGTCATTTGTGTTATTCTCGTTGGTCAGCGCTGGATTGATTTTGACAAAGCCTTACTCCAAGCAATTTGCAGTTGCAGCCAATCCAAAGCTAATCCAAGTTTCTTCAATTACAGTGATTCGCGTGGGCTTTTCGTCGCAGCAAGGGGTGTTGCTTGCAATGGAGGGCCGCAAAATAATGTTGGCCATGTTGGCCTTAGTCTTCGTGGCAAAGAGAGGCAGAGTCACATACCATCAAAAATCACTGAATGAAAAAGCAATGCTAAAAGCCGAAAGGAGAGGAAAACAAAAAGGTCAACAAATTTGACTGACTCCAAGCACAACGTATTGGCCCCACGTGGCCACCACTGGATGCAAAAGCAGTGGCCAGCACTAAAATGTTTGGAAGCAGAGATCAACAATTAAACTTGTGAATGACCAAGCTGGGTCCATCGTGTGAGGCTTGGAACTCTGCTGGGCTTTGTGTAAGTGTGGTGTTCCGTATTTTGTGGTTTTTCCCTTGAATAATCCTGGCAAAACTCTCCAAGGCTTGGTCATGGAGTTCCAGCTACCAGACAAGGCGGTCAGAGAGCTTACGTGGTATGCGCGCCCTTTGGGCATCACGTTCAAGATCTCGGACGTCAGAATTGAAGGCCAAGAGCTCGTCGTTGTCGAGTCTGCGAATTTCGTTGCCACAATGAAGGGCGTTGAGGAGGGGCTCGTGTTGAAGCGCTTCGGAGACGACTACCGCATGCTGGAGGCAGCAAAGGGTCAAACCTTCAAGGCGGTCGTGGACGACCTGAACCGATTCATCAACCGACTGCCGGAGCATGAGATGCAGCCAGAAACTGGCTCTCTCTTGTAGCTGCAAAGCAGCTACCCCAAGATACAGCGCGCAGCGTGTCGCACTGGGGAGGTGTGTTTCACAGTAGCAAATGCGCCGCAACTCCCAAGCTTGATGCATGCATGCATGGTCTTGCTGCCAGGTTCTACTCCTCCCCGGAGACCCGCACGGACAGCTGAAGCCAGCGTCAGAGAGGCACCGATTGCGGGCGGCCTTTGCAATACCGACCAACCAAGATACATGTTGTAAAACATATATTGGCGTTTGTGATGGCAAGTTCACAGTCCCTTTCCGTTCTCTACTTTGCAAGCTTCGCCAAGTCTACGGGCAAAGCAAGCCGTTTGGTCGAAGGAGCATCATTCTTGGTAGGGAGACGTTTGCCACAGCCCAATCGCCAACCAGGCGCCATCACCCTCAAAGTGGGGAGAGGTGCAGGGCCGAGATCATGTTTGCCCACTCTCAATCCAGACTGTACCGACAGAGACAGAGAGAGAGAGAGAGTTGTGTCATGGGAAGGCCCCGAGCAAGCAACCCTGCACGGCGGAAACCATCGTAACCACATTTTGGGCGCACATGCTGCGAAAGCGCCAACGTTAGCACTGCTTCGTGACTGCTTGCAAAAGTTGTTGAACGCGAGGGGCCTAGCCGTTGGATTTCCGAAACACAAGGGTTGCCGCCCGCAAAACTAATGGGTCCAGGCGCGTAAGCTGACGTAAGCATGCGAGTAAGGTTTGCGTAAGCTCGCCTAGAACGGCTGCCCGCTCGCCGACGCCGCGAACGCCGTTCCTTGATTTGCTGTGAGGAAGCACAAAGTTATCGGCCAAATCCAAAGCGCTGAGCAAGAAGGCTTCAAGAGGGCTACAAAGGGAAGACTGAGAGCAATTCTTCATCAACTTCCTAGCAAGCAGCGCGGAATCTTGACATGCTCAGTGACTGCCGCGTAAGCTACAAAATGGGTCGCATAAGCAAAGTGCTAGTTTGCGCGTAGGCAACAATCCACGGCATAGGGGTTCATGGGTTGTTTGTAGATGCTCAGCTGTTGATCAGCTGTGGATCGGCTGCGTTGCCACCTGCTACTGTTGATGGCATGGACAGATATGACACATTGCTCCTCACTAGTATTGAAGTGTTGCGTCCAGCTGGATCAACTGTATCACGTTCTTCTCGGTGGTATTTTGTTCATCACCAAGTCACGGCTTATTCAACAGATTCCCATGTCAGCTTGGGGCCAGAGCGAATACTGAGTGTGGCTCGCAATGTGTTTACGGTAGAGAGTTGGGGCAGTATCAAACACGAGCAAGACACAACCAAAGCGAGCAGATACGCACAGACACCCAAGCAACACAACAACGTTAGTATGGTCTTAGTACTAACGGAAGACTCACAGTGTGGGATATGCCTTGTGGCAGTCACGCGATATTTTATGCCAGCGTAGTGAAGCGACGCATCGCCTGCCAAAGGACAAAGGGAAATGATGAGGTGATTCACTAGACATTGCAGGTTTTGATGTTCTTGATATGTTGAATATGGACCTTAAACATGGCAAGCAGCTTTCACCCAGGTGGTGTCGTCCCTGCCCCTGGTTCGACTCTCTGAGCAAAGCTCTCTTGGAAGCCGTCGCCTCATGCTGCACGGGTCATTTCCTTTGTGTCGAGACTAGGGACCCTGGCTCCATAGCGTGGATACGCACATTGTGACATCGTGGCGAATTGAGTCTGATGACAAAGAGGTCCAGACAAGCGGCTGGGATTTTCTCCGTCAGCCGTTGCCTCACATTGCCACACATTCCAGTGTGTATGTGTGTGTGTTGGACGTGTTGGAAGACTCAGGTGGCATTCCAGGAGCCACTGGTGCGGCCAGAGCCTATCTCAGCTGCTTGGCTCAAGTCAGTCGCGGCCCAGACCGCCCCGGCGAAAGCGATCGGTTCACGAGGCAACATCGACGCCACTCTGGAGAGCGGTGCTTGGAGCTGGGCCATGTCAACATGCGCTGCGCTGTGCCGCTGTACAATGATTGCGCACTGAGGCCCTGAGCCAAAAGCCAAGGCGGTACATGCAGTGGCTGCAGGCTCTCACTTTGGGCCTTTACACAGTGCCAGGTGACGCCACCATTGAAGCAGAATGATTTCTGGCGGGCGCACGAACAGTCCCCCGCCTGGTTGAAGAGCGAATTGAAGCTTGATGCAATGCCAGAACTGTTAGCCTTGGAGAGGGGCCTCACTCAGAGGTACGCGCTGCAAAGATCTCGCGAGTCCACGGCCAAGTTGCCATCCCTGTCTGAGCCGCAGCAAAGGCCGCCCCGAACTCCCTAGATCACTTGACCTACCTGGCAGACCGCGTCTAGGACTGAACGGCCAGAATTGGCGGGTAGATCAGCGCTGGAGGCAGTTGGTTTTTTGGCTTTCCTGACCTGAACGCATGTGCGGCTCGAAGGGGCGGCGCCTGGTGCAATCGCCAAAGCCATGCTCTTGGTGCCAATGAAGCAATTGTCAACATGATTAAAAACTACCCCAACACCGTGTCCGTTGCAGAGCTCCGATATTCGCATGAGTGGTCAATGTAAGGCCTGCGCTGCACCAATATCTTCCTGTGCCGCAGGGTGCCCAGTTCCATGCAAGGAGCTGTGTGGCATGGGGAGCATTTGACTTGTGCCCGACAGCGTGTTTTGGGGTTAGAGTCGAAACCCATGTGCCCCGAGGTCCGGCGAGCCAGTGAGTAGCCCAGACCCAAGAGGCCAGTGCCAAGCCAGCCCAGAAGCTGAGGCAGGCACCTGGCAGTTTGCAGGAAATACCAGGGGATGCACCTTCCGCCAGGATGCCAGGGCTGTGGAAATGCCGCAGCCAGATTCGGTGTACGAGCAGCTCCTTCAAGAGATCGCCAAGCGGCTGACTGCACCTTCACAGGAGCTTTGGAGCCTTGGGCCATCTTGGGCCCCTTCGCCTGAAATCTCATTGCAGGAGGTGGCAAGAGCTAACCAGATGGCCAGAGCAGACCGGACCCCGGACGGACGGGGAGCAGCTTGACCGACGGAGCGACAAGGCCTGGGATCAAGCAGCTGCAACGCAGCCCCAGGAGGCCCGCTCCTTCTTTTCCTCTCCTTCTTTTCCTTCTTTCCCCCACCTTTCATGATCTTTCATGGTTTCAGTGAAGGATCCTTGGAGGAAGCAGCCAGACTCGTCTGACTCGTTCTGCGCGGCCCTTGCTCTTGCTGTTGCTGGCGATAGTCACTTTGGCAGTGCTCAGGTCTGTCTGAGATGTTGGACTTTCTGCAGCGCAGGGTCGAGGCAAGCGAGTCGACGTTTTCTCCCAACCAGTTCACACCTGCCCAGGTGCAGAGCAGACAGATGAGGTGCGGAATGCAGCTTGCCAAAGTCGCAGGCTTCCTTGGCCTGCAGGCAACTCAAAGCAGAGCTGGCAGCACGGTCACGGCTGGCAAGGACCTTCCAAGGCGAGCCTCACAGGTCTCAAGATGTCTCAAGGTCTTTTCATGTCTTTTCCCTTTTCGCATTTGGATTTGGGGTCCAAATGTCCAAGCTCGATCGAGGCTCCGGCGAATTCGCTTAGGTTGAGCCAAGCCCTGGGTTTGGAGTTGAACCAGGCCCGATGTCTGGAGACGCCGTTAAGCCCATGTGAACCTGGCAGATCTGTTTCTTCGAGCTGGCGACTTGGCCTGCATTGCGCCTGGCCACTTCGGCGCAGAGTCTCGAGTGGCCCACGGCTCGCAGGCTGTCAGAGACGCTGACGCCGTCACGTTCGGAGCAACGCCCGGGGGTAAAAATCAGGGCAGCCCTCGAGCTTCCTGCCAGCAGTAGATTTCCCTGGCTTGCATATGCACGCTGAAACCTGTGCCTGGGTTCGTGCCTTCAAGGGTTCACAATTCCCACAGGCACATTGAAGCGAAACGAACCTGGATGTCATGCTTCTCCATAAGAGCATAATTCCTTCTTGCTGGAAAGAGAGGCAAAACAAATTCTTTCAGAGTTTGCCCTTGAGGAGTGCAACTGAGTCAAAATTGAAGCAATTGTGCAGGAGGATGGATTCTTTGCTTGATGGCTGAAGGCGATCTACTACAGTTGCAGTCGATGAATACACACACACACACTTTCAAGAGAGCAGTTAATTGTGGCCATGATCTAGTGACTTGGTGACAAAGCCACATCAATGGGTCAAACAATCATGCGCAATAGCAACAGCCTGCAACAACATAGAAGCTTGATGCCACAACAATGCACCAGCCTCGATGCAAGGTGGAAGCTGACTGTGCTGAGTGTACATAACGTCGCAGCTTGATAGTTGCGCAGGTCAGCACAGTTGTGCAATTGAACAAGGAACTGCGGTCAAGCAGGCATTCTGAGCAGGAAGTGTTTGCTGTCTAGCAATCGGACTACAGCACCATGCAAGAGTTGTGCATGATAGGTCCCTCGATGCCTTGGTCAAAACCATCCAGGCGAAGCGCCCAGTGACAGCTTTTTGCCCCTCGTCCTGCATCTCAGGCCAGATTTGGAGAATTCGATAGCCGGCATGCTTCTTGTTTGCAGAGTTGCCGAGAGCTGGCACCTGTGACCTTTTAGATTCAGGTTGCGACCTCCATCTACAGCCTTGCAGCGCTCAGGCTCTCGATATTGCACGGAATCGACGCTCTAGGGCGCTCTATGATTAAGCAGTCGTCCCCGAAAGTTCCTCATGGCCGAATGGAAGGTGGCAGGCACCACGCATTCAAACAGGAGTGGCGAATGATACAGCCGCCGAGGCATGCTTAGCAGCAATATCATTCGAAATATTTTGGTGAAATCGGCCCTTAGCTATGGGTTTCCAGAAGCGCTTGCCAGGTTGTGTTGCTTTCACGCCGGCTAGGGGAGGCTCGCCTTAGCTTTGCGGGTGTATGAGTACCATGACTGACCTGCAAGCTGGCAGGATCTGCAGGGGAGTGCCTTCGGGCACCGCAGCCTTTCCAACATTTGCTGGGTGCTCCAGCAGCACAGCTGACATCAACCGAGTAGATTCATCCATCTTGGTGGTTCGTTATTCTGTGGATGGTTTGGCATTGTTGCAGACCGCCCTCTCAAACACAATGTCACAAGAAGAGTTCAAGTCGACAAGCCATGATGATCAGGCAATCGCGAAGCTGAGTGCTGCAACCCCTCAGCAAGGCTCTTAAAGAAAACAGTGGCAACAGGTCGTCCAACTGGTCGCTTTAGCGCCATATATTGTTGTTTTTGTTTTTTGCCAGTATGTCACTGACAAATCGATGTGTTTGGCCCTTGTCAAACGCATTGGCCACCGTGAGCCCCAGGCTCCAAGCGACATCTCAAAGCCTGGCGCCAGCTGCTGTCCGCGCCCCGCTGGTGTGCTTCATTCGTCAGTGGCCAATGGAGCTGTTCGGTTGCGAATGAGGATCACTTAAGCTTGAATTCCATCTCAGGCGCGACTAGCATCACAGATGAATGCGCAGGTGGACTGCAGTTGTAGAAACTGACCTCAATCACCAGCAAACAGTTGAGAGGGCTCAAGTGAACTGCGAGCATTCTTGCCGGCACCAGGGCTTGTCAAACACATGCTGGGCATTTGCCGTGCTTCAGCGGCGGACTTTGATTGATTTGAGTAGTCCATACAGAAGAGGGGACAGTTCTCATGTGCTGTGCTGACTGCAGACAGAAAACCTCAGGCTAACTGCTGCGACCCCACTGGCCACAAGGTGGGCAACTGGGACTAACGATTGACTGAGCTTTGCCCGCCCGAAGTTTCTGGCGGTCCGCGTGCCACGCTTGGCCATGCGCAGAGGCGTTGCCGAGGGCTCAACAGCTTTCGCGTCGGCGACTCGGCCGAGTCTCGCTTTGAGGCCGCAGCATTTCGCCAGCTTGGCATGGGCAATTGCAGCCGCAAGGGTGGAGGCGTGCAAAATGGGTGGGTCTCAAAAACGGGGCGCCACTCAAGCCCTGCAAGAACAGGGAAAGCCGATTGTGCCATTTTGAGACATCCAAGCAAGTCTGACGAGTAGGACACCTTTGACGGAGCCGCAGAAGTACTAGATACCATTGAGCATGAGGCAGGTGCCGAGGCACATGAGCTGTCCAGCACGTGTGACGCTGAGAGGCCACACAAAGGTTTGATACTTTCTCCCCGCAGCGGCTTGGCTGAATTTGCTGGCCGTTTGTGCTGTTTATCCCTCGAGGCAGCATGATGCTCAGGAATCTGGCTATCACGATTTGGGCGTTTGCTAAGCACGCCCCTGAGATGAGCTGAGAGCTTCCATGTGGCGTTCTTGCTGGCGAAAGGCTCTTGCATCCTCCAGAGCCGCTTCTATTTCTGTCACTTAGTTTGCAGTAGGTCTCCCCAAATCGCAAAAGTCCCGAACGTACCGATTGAGGTTGGGACAGCTCACCCGACAGGAACTTCAAGGCGTGTGGAGTATCTTTTGCTTTGAAGTTCTTGAGCCGCAGGCTTCAGTGCCATGCAGATCTCCACTTCTGTGTGGGCACTGGCTCGGCTTGCCGAGGCATGGGTTTGAAAGCGGATAGTGAAAACTTGGCCATGAGCATTCGCTCAGGCCTCGCAGCATTGCCATCAGCATGACAGGTCTCGTCCACACCTGAGAGAGGGACAACTTAAATTTGTCTGCCAATGAAAGTCGGATGTATTGCGGTGCAGAGAGTTGCTAGAGTTAGCAGCATTTCCGGAGTTTTCTTCAGCTGCCAGGCATGTCTCTCATCACGGAGGGCTGTGGAAGACTCTGCGAGTTCTCTGAGCAGGTGAGGAACGACAAAACCATTTCGACAGAGCTGTGCCACTATTGCCCCTGTCAAAACATTTGGTTGCATTGGGTTGCTGAATGGGCCAGCTGCCATGAGAACAATACTCGGCCGTACCTCTGGGGTTGAACACTCCCGGAGCCCTTGATAGATGGCCACAATGGGGATTCCGATTCCAGGTCCAAAAGTGTCCATACATACCCACAGCTGAGCATAGGGGGGATGAATGCCCGGAGAGGGCCTCGCGAACCTTGCGTTCGGCCTGTCTGCTTCCCGGCCCCAGCCTCAGCAAGTGGCTCACTTCGCAGAATGGGGAACTCCGACGCGAGGAATCCTCCACGGCCCGCCCGGAGAAATTCAGTTCAAGCAAAATATGGTCCAAAGACGGGACTGATATATTTAGTTTATGAGAAGGACATGGTAGCACGAACATGTTTCAAAGGTTTGCGCAAGAATGACTGGAATGGTAGTGAGCATTGCTCAACACAGTAGTATTGGAGATATGTGTATGTGTGTGTGTGTACAACTATGGACATGTTGATTATGAATAGTGAAGCCTGTCTCTAGTATATTATTATGCAAGGTCAACGTCGGATTGAGAACCCCCGTCCCCGAGAGGTCACATCTCATAAAACGGGTTCTGGGAGACTCTGCGGGATGGCCGACGCATCCGGAAATCTGGTAAAGTTTCAATTGGGCTTGAATTGAAATCATGTGTGTGTGTGTGTTTTTTGCTGGAAGATGGTTCTTCCGAATGCGCCGTACTAACTAGGGGTCGTCCCGGAGGCCTGCGTCAGAGTTTGATTTCGGCTGAAGATCGTGGAGGCATGCAGGTAACTCCCCGCGCTTGTTGGGGAGTTCTTGGCTAAGACTTCTGGCAAGACCTGTTCGTCCATTTGTGTTTCGGTCACGGCCGTCAAGAAACATAGAACTGCGTGCTGTTTGAACAAAAGGTCGCTTGAAGAGTGACGACTTGCGCTGGTGTGACCCCATGTTGTGATTTGGAAAGCCACACGTGCGCCATAGTTGGACTGCTGAAAGATCTGAAAGCAAGCATTGTTAGACGATGTTGTCACGTGCGTATCTGTTCGCAATGGTACACGTACTAGTGTGCAGGCTTGAGATCGCCGTTTTGGCTTGTCTCCTTGTGACATGCTCAGGTTGCTCGGGTGTATGTGTGTTCATTGTGTGCATGATTTTGTATAATATGTGGTGTTCTGGTAAAACAGCACATCAAGTATTTGCACATCAACACGCGAGTGCAAGAACAGTCCGCGAAGCTGTAGCGACACAAAACAAAGCAGCACATACTGAAGGGTGTCACTATGTGTCACTGGATGCCTTGAGATGGGACCTTGAGGTGAAAACACGTACATTTCGGCAAACGTTTGGTTCCAGGCATTCTGTTGTGGCTTGCAGGGCTGATTAAATTATACTGCCGAAGTGTGCCGTGGCTGAACCTGCGCTGACAGTCATTGTCAACTGCACTGATACTGTAAAGGCAATTTTGTTCTTGCTGCGCACGCGGGTTGTTGCCAAGAGCCATCCATGATCGCAGTCTCGGCTCATTCTGCATGAACGCAGCAGCCAACTAAGCACAGCTGAGCAACAATCAAAATCCGAGCAAGTGAAGGCTAGTAGGAGACAGCCCCAACCGCTAGTAGATAGGTGCGGCCGCCCTCGTGATTCTTTGCATGTTTGGGTAGACTCGGACCACTTCCCTTCCAGGTTTGATAAAGACAGGTGACAAGAGTGAAGACAAAGTCACGACGCTGACTGAATGAGAATTCCTGGCACTTGGAAAGGGCTAACGGTTGCTAGCACTTGGCAAACATAGTGCAAAAGAGTTGAGTCAAGTGCATTTGGCCTTGATTGCCGATGTGATGCCTCAAATTTGAAGCCTGAATGTCAGATGCCAAATGCCGTTTACACGCGGATGCTTGCAATGGTTGACTGTTCGGCTTTTGTTGCTGGTGCGTTGCACCTGTTCACTTGAAGCTGGTGGACAAGCATGGCCACTGACACCAGTGCGAGCAGCAGAGCGAATTCCGCTAATGATGAAGATTTCCACATCTGACAATGAGGCATACAGTGTGACCGAAGGCAGCTTGACGCTGGTCTTGAAATGGCAGGATGCTTCGGTCTTGCAGTTCGACCACTCACTGTCAAATTGCAAGGACATCATCGTGGAGGTATGGCAGTTCCCGGCTCCAGCTAGTTGTGCCACTACAAGTGACGGATCTGCTGTAAGCTTCACCTTCTACGATGATCATACCTTGGGTGCAGCTACTACATATATTTTGATGACGGCAGTGCACTTGCAGCAATCAGGCGGCACTGATGTACAACGAACTTGCATTGCTCAAATCATACGTGACTTCGAGTTGATAGATCAATTTGGTGTTGTCATCCCTCAAATCTTAGAGGCTCAGGCAGGTCCACAGCTGGGTTTCTTTGACATCACCCCGATGAGCCTCAGCCTCAACAGCGCCACAACATTTACACTGGAGATATCCTTGGCCTCCTCTTCCGAAGCATTTGCTATTGACCCAGGTGCTCAGGGGAGCATTGTGATTTGGGCTGCTCCGTTCTTCGCATGGGATTTTGTGCAACCCTGCGCTGTGGATGCGAGCACAGAGAGCTCCAGCGTTCAGGGAAGGGGAACATGCACATTCCTGCGATATCCAGACGTCGGTGACGCTGAGATTCGAGCTGCGGTGGGGTTCAACTCCATCAAGCTAATGCCATCCGAGAAGATTGGTCTGTCACCGGTGATGTTTCGATTTCAGGTGAGCAGTCCCAGCACCGGCAGCTTCGGGGACAAGTGGTACGCACAAGCTCTCAAGGCAGACCGTCCGATGCAGGCACCACTTTCCTCGCCAGGTTTGAGCATTCCACCAAGGCCTGCAGCTTCAATCACTCAAGTAAGCAGTGCTGCAGCTGGCGCTGACAGCACTATGAGCTTGGCATTCGAAACGGGTATATCATTTTCCAGAGGCAGGCTCATATTCAGCGCCCCACTGACGTTCGACTTCATTGATGCGCAAATGTCAGTGTCTGGTTTTGCACGAGTTGGTACTAACGCAATCTTGAGCGACAACACATTGAAAATTGAAGTGGTTGATGAAGGAATTTGGAGCAATGTTCTCTATGCAGTGATCCTGCATGTTCGGAACCCGGCAACTGCGATGCTGTCAGTGACTTGCGTTGAAAGTCTGCTGACCCTGGTTGATGATTCCTTGCTGGGCACTTTGGCAGCTTCACCATTCACCATGAGCGACTCGGAAGCCTGGCACTTACAAATAGAAGTTGGCAACCCGGTTGAGACGAGCGGTTCGGCCTCCATCACACCGGTTGACATGCATCTAAGCATGCCTGGGGTCATTTCACCACTGAATTATGCCGTGGGCAGGAGCAACACTTTAGAAGTGTCTTTTGAACTGGTACTGGGCGTTCTTTCTTCTGATGCAGCAATCGTGCTTTCAGGGCCGGCTGAATTTAGTTTCGCCTGCAGCACATTCACTGCAGCAACTTCGCTGCTGACAGTTTTGCCTTTACTTGCGCCTTCTGGCTGTACTGCAAGCAACGGGTATTTATCTTTGGCATTGGCACATGGAGTGTTTCTGGCAGCTGGCACGCTTCTGTCCTTTCAAATCAGCTTGGAGAACCCTTCCTTGCTTCAAGCTGTTGATCTGGAAAGCCGGCTTCAATCCAGTGCATTTGCCGTTGATCAGGCTTGGATGTTGTCCATTCAGTCCAATGGTGTGTCCTGTCAAGCATCGCGGTTGAAGTCCCCTCATGGTGCCTGGCAATGGCAGTTGTTTGTCAGGGAATTGAGCCTGCAGGCCTTATTCACTGGCGCTTTGCCCGGAGCTGAAGACTTTGTAGCGCTATCCTTTGAATTCTCTGCGAGAGTTCTTCGTGGCAGCCGTTTGCACATTTTTGCTCCTGTGGGTTATACGTTTCTGTCAAATTTTAGTGTGGATGACACAGCGCCAGATCGGCTAGTCGTCGGGTTTTCTGAGATTGGGGAATATCCAAATGAGCTTGTTGTTCCGCTAGAGGGGCATGCTTTCGAGCACATCGTTTATGGTCTTCATGGCACGGTTCGGAACGCACTGGCAACACCAGGATCACAAGAGCCCGGCTTCAATCGCTGGAGTCTTTGGGTGCAAGTGCCTGATCAGATCAGTTCAGTGGCGGCACTCCAGGGCAGAGCAGAAGCTGGAACTCTTGTAGGTGGCGATCTGCAAGCACTCCGAGCTTGTGGCATTTCTCCTTCAACTACTGTTTTTGGCTGGCAAAACCAACTTGCAGTCACCTTCTTTGTAGCCACTAGCATCTACTCCAGCGATGCTTCTTTGGGAAGTGTTCACGTCGTGGCTCCGCAAGGCTTCAGCTTTCCAGTGGAGTGCATTGTGTCCGGGCTGCCAGCCTCGCTTGGCTCGACATCAACCTGCAAAGGCAACGGCAACAGAGCCATTGTCAGGCTCACTGGGGCCATCCCCAGAGGACCCCTTGTGGAGTTCTTCCTTGAACTTGTCAATCCAACAGAGGCAGTTGTTGGTCATTGGACCATTGCCACCTATCAAGGCCTTGTCCAAGTTGAAGAATGTGAACAGAAAGTGGCGTCCTTTGACCTCACAAGGGCCCTGAATCAAGCTCTGATGTCAAGAGCAGTTGTGGGCCAGGATTTGCGACCAGGTTACCTAAGCGTATATCAGTTCGTTTTTGCCTACCCAGAACGCACGGCCGAAGAACTGGCTGATATTGCTGGAGGAGATCAGGGTGGGGCGGGCAGCAACTTCAAATTCCCTGTTGAAACAGAATTGGGAAGCGGAGATAGTCTTGAAAGTTTTGTCCTTGGTCTAGTTATTTTCTTCCAACTGTTCAGGAGACCACACACGGAGCATTGTCAAGGTGACATGCCCTGTCGGCTTTGTGGCGCCTGCTGCATGCTTGAATGGTGCAAGCGGTGCTGGCACTGGCTTCGCGGCCCTGCCCGACGTCATCGCTTGCATATCATTGGGCAGAACCTTGGACATCACCTTGCAGGGCCTCATCACGCCCCTCACGACCTATGCCCTGAGTGTCACAGTTCAGAACCCACCTCAGCAGCAGAGCAACCAGTGGACCCTACTAGTGGACCGAGCGACTGCAACTTTGGAAGGTCCTGCTTTGCGTGTACTGCAAGATGTATCACTCATGCCCGGGAGTATGCAAGAGGCAGCCTTTGGAATCTGTATGATCCACTTTCGTACAGTCACTGCGGTGCCAATCAACGGCCAGCTTGACGTGAACATTCCTGCAAGTTTCACACCTCGCTGTCCTGCTGCGCTATACGACACTGGTGTGGCTGCACTGGGGAAGTTGGATGTGACACCTGGCACTCCTTGTCTTGTGACGGCTAGTGGAGCACATAGGTTGACACTGGGCCCCTTGACAGTCCAGCTGGAGAGCAACACCGCTTATTTGCTGGCTTTAGGTCTCGAAAATGGGCTGGCAGCCTTCCAGGAAGCCACAAGTTCGACGTGGACAGTAACAACACAATTTGAAGGAGAGATGCTTGATGTCTCCCGTCCGCTTTCGTCATTTGACGTTCGACCTGATTTCGGCACAGTTAGATTTACACCACCAGCCCTGGTCTCACCCAGAGGGCAGCCATATCCAGTCGACGTTACCTTCACGCTCGCAACAGCCGTGAGATCCGGAGCAGTTGTGTTCTATCCTCCTCCTTACACCCTCGGCATTTGTCAGGACTTGCCAACTGATGGTATGCCGCAAGGTGCCACTTGCAAAGCCGAAGGGGACGCAACAGGCTGGCGTAGCCAGCGGATCATGCTGCGCAGTCTCTCGCCTTGGTCAAGCCGGCCGTACTACTTCCAGCTGCTCGTGCAGGATGCTGGAGAGGAGCTTCCAGAGCACCGTAGTTACTGGACAGTGGAGCTTGTTGCAAGTGTGCAGTTGTCGCAGACGGAAGACAGCGATCCCGCGGCCTTGCCAAACTCGAACTCCTTGCCTTCCCTGCCTGGCTTCGTGGTTGGATCACGCTCTGTGGAGCAGTGGCGATGGAGAGGGTGGCTGGATGGTCTGTCGATTACTTCTATGGGTGCAGCGCAAGGCGCCAGCAGCCAAGCCTTGGTGTCATTTGTATCACAATTAGAATTGTTTCCCGCAGACGAAGTGTGGGTGCGAGCACCGGCGGGAATTGTCCTGCAGCCCTTCTCATGCTTTGTTTCGACCGATGGCAACATACGTATTCCTGTTCCCTGTGAAGTACCTGAGCCAACAGCGCAATGCTTTCCCTCGGTACACCAGACAGAGCCATGCGTAGACGCCGGTTCAGGTCTCAGCCCTGATTCGCCTGGCTTCTCACACAGGATTGGAATGAAATTGCGGCTGGGAAGGGTTGTTCCGCAGTCGTCTCTGCAAATTCTGTTAGCATTTGTTCCGTTGGTAGCTGCAGATCCAGGAAAATGGCTTGTGAGCACTTGGAGAGCAAATCAAGAACTGGAGGCTGCGATTGCAGATGGCTTCTCCATTTGGCACTGGATAGAGGTCACTCAATTTCGTCCCTCAAGCCTGCTTCCCGAAGCTGATATTTCAGTACACGTCGCATTTTGGATGCTTTCTCCTTTGGAATTCGGTGGCATTCAAATACACTCACCCAGCAATGGAATCTTTGGAGCCCTCTTCGACTTGTCCCAATCTGTGCAGGGCTTTTCTTGGGGTAACTTACCTCAAAATGCAAGACTACAGAAGCTCACTACCAGCACAGCAGTTCTTCAGGTGCATTTGTGTTGCGAGCTTTTGGGCAGAACCGAATATTTCTTCAACTTTGGAGCCCAAAATCCGAGCATGCAGCGCATGCCTGCAACATCGCAGCCAGAACTTAACACTTGGGCTTTGCAGACAGTTACGCCAGAGGATTATGTGAAGCACTACAGGGCTGTGCCAGGCTATCAGCTTGCTCGTGGATTTCGCAAGTCAAGTGTGACGCTGGAGGACCAGCTAGTGGTTGGCGGAGTTGAGGGATCCGCAGATCGTATGGTCAATTTGGTTTTCTATTTGCCGCATCAAAATGCCTTGCATAGGACTTGCATGCTTCGTCTCTTGGCACCCACAGGCTGGAATTTTCCAGACAAGTGTGAGCTGAACCTGCAGCTGGGTGCATTTACCACCGTGACCAGTTGCACAGCAGCACAGAACGAGCTGACTTTGCTGGTGTCGGGTGATTTGAACCCCGGAATCGAAG